TTTTTTTTTTTTTTTGATGTTCTGCTGTGTTTCATGCAGCTGTCTACCAGCAGTTACAAGAGTATGAACAGAAGATCCTTGGGTCAATCAAGAACAACCACCCCACCTTGCCAATCTTCTCATCTGCCGGCATGCCATCCTTCAGCTTTGGGTTTTCAAAGCCTAATGATCCAGTTCCTGTCCCTGCATTCAACAGCCCTGGTGCTACTTCCATTTTTGCTCGTCCCATTTTAGACATCTCTCCACAGGAGTTTACTTTTGGAGCTGGCCAGGCTCAGAGTAATTCCTCTGAAAGTTCTTTTGCAACAACTCTGCCAAATCCAAATTGTAACGATATCTCCATGGATGGTTCTTAATATCCATATGTTTGATTCTCTCCTCTCCGACATCAGTGGTTGGTCGGTGAATCTGAAAATTGTATGATTTAGACAGACTTGGATCAGTTTTAATGTGCAAGTCGAAGTCGGGGTGTAAGTTGGAAAGAAATGTGTTGACTTCAAAAGGTTTGAAAGTTTGAATCAGGTTCTCTTCTGGGGTTTTATATTCTATAACTGCAAGAATCTCATTTTCTAATTCAATATAAGGGTACTAAATAATTCTTTGGTCAATTGTAGTCTGATTTAGTGACTCTTTATTAGCTGTAAAAAAGCCAAAGGCTATTTAACCTTGTTACCCATGGTGATAATTGTTACATTGGTTTTATCGGTGAGGCGGTCGGAGAGGGCCAAGGCTGGCAGTGGAATTGGGGTGGCTCTGCTATGTTCTGTATACAGAGGGAGAGAGATGTGTGTACATTGTTGTTGATATAGCATTGCTGGGTCGACTTGTACTCACCATATTGTGAATTGTTTTTGGTTGAAGTTTACATAATATTCATACCCAACTCAATAAAGTGTTATTCCAATATTTGTAGGTTCGATTGCATGAATTCTCTTTTGCCATTATGCTATATATCAATGACCATGCTTTCTATAAAGTTATCATGTTCTTTTTTANATTCCAATATTTGTAGGTTCGATTGCATGAATTCTCTTTTGCCATTATGCTATATATCAATGACCATGCTTTCTATAAAGTTATCATGTTCTTTTTTATTATTTTTATTAAAGTTAATTTAGACTTACTTCTGTCCCTATGCTTAGCTTTAAGAGTTATCATATCACTCTTTTTCACTAGTGTTGTAGGTGACTGTCTCTATAGGTGTGTTCAAACCATTTAAGTTGATTATCTCTTAATTTATAACCTATAAATGTCACATCTATTTTTTGATCGACAATATAATTCTTAATTCTATCATTTCTATTATCATACATCTATCTTAACATTTTCATTTCTGACACACTTAATTTGTGGACGTGTTGTTCTTAATTGGCCAACAACCCCTACCATAAAGCATAGCAGGCCTTGGGACAACTTTCCTTTTAACTTCAGTAGTATGCATCGTATACACAATATCCCGGATACATTCCTCCATTTAGTCCATGCATTAATTTTATGAGTAATGATGATGCATAAATTAGTTTTCACACTACCTGTCAAATAAACAGTATAAAATGCAGAAATTGATAAGTATACAGAGAGAGAGAAAAAAAGGTTTATAGTGGTTCGGTCAACGTGACTTACGTCCACTTTAAATGGCAAGGGTCGTTGATATTTTANGAGAGAAAAAAAGGTTTATAGTGGTTCGGTCAACGTGACTTACGTCCACTTTAAATGGCAAGGGTCGTTGATATTTTATTAACTCCGATGTGTAAAAAGAGCAAGAAGTTACAAGTTTTGAGAGAGGAGAAGAGAATTATCTCGAATGAATCTGATGCCCCACAAGAGTTTGTGGGGCTTACAATTTATAGTGACTTAATGTAGTAATTGAATAGTTAGTCTGGTGGTCATAACGGGTTGGGATCATTTAATATTCATAACGGATTGAGGTGACTTTAATGGTAATTAAATAGTTTGGCGACCTCTCATCCCCTCAACGGGTAAGGAAGTTATAATGCTCTCTAAAGGACTTGGTCAAAGGATGAGAGAAGGTTAACTCTCTCCGAGCGACGAGAGTGAGACTCCTGAATGCTCCTTTACTCCCAGGTGACAGAGGAGGCTCTTGGATGACCTTTATTTCAAGGTGGTAGAAGAGACTTTTGGATGACCCTTACTCCAAGGTGGTAGGGGAGGCTCTTGGATGAGCTCTTAGACGATCCTGCATGCTCCTCTACTGATGTAACTCTTGAAACTTGATGAGCTTGACCGGGGTGTAGGCTCTTTTAGGCTTGACTAACTAGAACTCTTAGAGTTGAGCCCTTGGGCTTGTAATATGAGTGGGCCCTTGGTCTTGGCCCATCATTTACCCCCCAATGTCCTATGTCCAATGAAATTGGAGAGGAGGACATTCGGTTGAGTTTGAATTTTTGGTTGACCGACACAACTAAAAAAATTTCGGGAGGCCAAAATATCTGTTTCTAGGCCTTTTTTGGATTTTTAACAGCATCAATCACAACCAAAAATTGTAAGTCTTGTAGAGCTTGTCGAGAGTTTTGATTTGATATATAATAAGCCCCGTTTAGAGTCACGGAGCAAAAGTTGAGGTCAAAATAGCGAGGAGGGAGCTGGGTGCCCGATTTGGGCGAGCGGGTAGCCTCTGGGCGAGCAACAGTTGAATTTTTTTTAAACTTCAGGAGGCTAAAACATCTGTTTCTAGGCCTTTTTTGGACTTTTAACAACATTAGTCACAACCAAAGACTGTATATCTTGTAGGGCTCGCTGAGAGTTTCAATTTGATACATTATGGGTCCTATATGGAGTAACAAAGCCAAAGTTACAGTCCAAATAACGAACAGGCAACTGGGCACACTGTTTTGGGCTAACTTGGGCGAGCATGAGGCCTTGGGCACCCCTTTGGGGAGCTTGGGCGAGCAGGAGGCCTTTATGAGCTCCCTTGAGTGAGCTCCACTAAAGTAAGTGGCATGGTGGGCGCAAATGCTTGTACGGATGGAGGCCCCTTGCGATCGAGCTCTATTGAGGTAGGTGACATAGTGGGCACCCATGCTTGGGTGATCTTGGTTGGGCACACGACTGAGGCTCCAAGTGCATGTATGGGTGACACAGAGGAGGAGGCCCAGGCTTTGGGTGTTGGCGCCGGAGAGCTGCGACAACGAGGCGACAGTACCGAATGGGCAAAAAAAGGTTGATGACATACAATCTAATGTAGTCCCAGACGGCCTGAGCATCAAAAGTGTGTCTGGCAAAACAATGTTACTCCAACATTAAAATATCTAACATGATTACCTGGAGAGAAAGGTAGGCTGCTTGCGTGAGAATAAAGATAGAGTTTGAGGATTATTCGTGAGAGAGCTACACCTTTTGAGACCGAGCTTTTGACGACTCATGAGAGAGTCCTTAAACTTGAGATATAGGCTGCCTGTTTGAGAACAGTGCAGAGACGAAACTTTTGGAGACCTGTGAAAGAGCCGCTCAGCTGAAGATATGGGTTGCCTTTTTGAGAACAGTGAAGAGGCCAAGCCTTTGGAGACTTGTGAGAGAGCCACTAAGCTGGAGATATCTGCTGCCTGTTTGANTGAAGATATGAGTTGCCTTTTTGAGAACAGTGAAGAGGCCAAGCCTTTGGAGACTTGTGAGAGAGCCACTAAGCTAGAGATATAGGCTACCTGTTTAAGAACAGTGCAGAGGCTAAGCTTTTGGCGACCTGCGAGAGAGTTGCTAAGCTGAATTTTATAGGCTGCCTGCTTGAGAGCAGTGCAGAGGCAGGTCAAGCTTTTAGCGATCTGCGAGATGATTCACCTCGCTTGACCTGTTGATTTCCTCAACATTCATATATTTTTGAACTTTTGCCAATAGTTCTATCATGCTCTTTGGTGGTGACTTCATTACTGAAAAGAGGAAGTTTGACGAGCAGAGGCCTCCCAAGAAGGCAGTCATAGTTACTTTGTTATCGGGCTCTTCAATTGGAGGATCTCCTCATTAAAATGAGTGAGGTAGCTCATTAAGCTCTCCTCTCGGTCCTGTTTTATGCTGAACAGGTGGGTGACATGTTTTTGGTGGCAACGCCCTCTAATAAAATGCGACACAAAAGATCTACTTAGCTCAACAAAGGAGGTAATGGAAGCTAGGGAGAGCTTGGTGAACCATTGTCGGGCGGATCCCTTCAAGGTGGTTGCGAATGTCCTGCACATGATCTAGTTGGGGACATTGTGCAGTTGCATTAGAGTTTTGTAAGTTTCAAGGTGGTCTAGTGGATCCTTCGTTTCGTCAAAGGTCTCCACAAATGACATTTTAAACTTTTGAGGGAGGGAGTAGTTCGTCACGTCAGGTTTGAAAGGCGTGTCAGTTCGCTTGACAAAGTAGTTCATAGTTTCAGGTCCTTGCACCTTTATGGCGTTGTAGACATCACCCAATTGATTTTGTACTTTTTTTTATTTTTTTGTCCTAATAGTTGGGAGCTCCTTTGTAATTATCATGGAAATGACTCCCATGTTCTATACTTTGGTTTTCATCCTCATTCTTTTAGAAATGAAGGTCTCCACCATGATAAACAAGAGCTGGAGGAGGACGTGAAGGTCCCTCATGGTGGGCCCCCCAGTGTGGGGCGCCCAAGGGAACTCCCAAACGTGGGGTGCCCAGATGGGAAGCATCTAGGCGGTGAGCTCTTTAATGACCAGGCCATGAAGCTCTTCTAACTTGAGATCCAGACTGCGTTCCTTTTTGTGTCCGAACATCAGTTGTAGAATCTACTAGTTCTGGACTACAAGCTGTTGCATTGTGTCTAACATCTGTTGTGCATTTGGGACGAGATTGGAAGGTGGAGGAACAACCTCATTCTCTCGTGCTGGATTGTTTTCAGGTTGATTCATGGATCAAGTTTATTCAGCAAATAAAGTGTTTAGGTGAGAATTTTGTCGTTCCCACAGATCGCGCCAAATTGATGATGCACAAATTGGTTTGCACACCACCTGTCAAGTAAACAGTATAAAATGCAGTAATTGATAAGTAGAGGGAGAGAAAAGACAAAGTTTATAGTGGTTCGATTAACGTGACCTACGTCTACTTTGAATGACAATTGTTGTCGATATTTTATTAACTCCGGTGTGTAAAGAGAGTAAGAAGTTATAAGCTTTGAGAGAAGAGGAGAGAATTAACTTGAATGAATTTGATGCCTCCCAAGTGTTGGTGGGACTTACAATTTATAGTGGCTTAGTATTGTAATTGAATAGTTAGTCTGACGGTCATAACGGAGTAGAGTCGTTTAATAAATATAACGGATTGGGGTAACTTTAACTGTTATTAAATAGTGTGACGACCTCTCTTCTCCTCAACGGGTAAGGAGGTTATGATACTTTCTAAAGGACTTGGTCAAAGGAGGGGTGAAGGTTGACTCTCTCCGAGCAGCAAGGGTGAGACTTCTGGATGCTCCCTTACTCCCAGATGGTAGAGGAGGCTCTTAGAAAACTTTTACTCCAAGGTGATTGAGGAAGCTCTTGGATGACCCTTACTCTAAGGTGGTAGATGAAGCTCTTGGATGGGCTTTTAGACGACCCTGCATGCTCCTTTATTTATGTAACTCTTTAAACCTGATGAGCTTGACCGGGTGCAGACTCTTTTAGGCTTGACTAGTTGGACTGCTTGGAATTGGGCCCTTGGACTTGACCCATCAATTAACATCATCACTACTCTCACACTCTTATGAATGTTTATTCTTTGGTATCTTTTAATTTTCAATTTTTATTACTTCATGACTTTAATTTCTCATTTTACTTTATTCATTTTCAGTCCTATTTATCTTTTTTTTTTTTTTGATTTTGGAGTTTCTCGCCATATTTTTAGCTTATTATTATTATTATTATTTTTTACTTTCATCAACTAAGGCTCATCATGAATATGCTTAGTCAATTCATCCATAA